AAGAGAGTCTCATATACCTTCAATAAAAATATCTTAGACCATTCATTAACCTTAATTTAATTATTCTTAAATAAAATTCTCAAGTAAATATGCATGTTCGAGTTTGATGGTCAATTCGGAGGCTTTCGGGTTAAATTTGACAAAACGGACTTCAGATTTAGACTTATGACATCGAAACACATAAAATATGATTTTCCAAAAAATTGACTTTTTGGTCAAAGTCAATACTAGTCAAATCAAGTCAACTCTGGTCAGTCAACGATCAGTCAAAGTTAACAAGTTGACTCTGTTCGAGTTGAATCAACCGGGTTAACTTAGTCGAGTGGACTCAGTTGACCCGATTCAATTTGACTGAGCCGGTTCGGTCTGACTAGAACGTTCGATATGACTGGACCGATTCTAAAAGGCTCCTAGACCAATAGAGGAACCCTACGCGCACCGAGGTCGCATGACGTGCTTGCGACACAGTGACAGGGGTGTTTGACGGTCTGATTACTACAAGTTACAATTAACATATTACTTCCAAAAAATCCAAAAAACTGAACCAAAACCACGACGAAAACATATAAAAAGCAATCGAAACCCTTATCGATGACAAATAGCAGAGCAATAAGGATAGCCAACGAACCCACTTGGGTTTTAATCGCTCGACACTAGAGAGGCCAGTGGGAGTGGCTATTAGACGAGCGTGTGGCTAGATCTGCGACAATCAACGAATTTCAATGTGGGATTGGTCTATCCCGACATTCTTCGTGGTGGGTTTTACAGCGAACGATGACGATTATTGTGAGGGTGGAGGGGTTTGATTATGGGAGGTTTTGACCACTTTGATGGGGGCGTGACCATCACGGCATCCAGACGGTGGAGGATGGTGAGGGCGACGAAGCGACTAGGGATTTAGAGGGAAATTGGTTGAAATCTGAAATGGGGATGGCTTTGGATTATAACTCAAGCCTTAACCAATAATATATATATTATAATATTAATAATCACAAATAGTGCCTAACTTAAATGTAGGGTGATGGTTGGCCAGCCTATGGATAGGGATTTGAAACCCTTGAGCACACCCTTTCCTATTTTATTTTTTTCTCTACCAACCAAAATAAAAAAATGGGTTAAATTCTTGAACTACCTACATGTTCAAATCGAGCCGTAAACTTCCAAAACTTACAATTTAATCCATAAATTAACTAAATAAATTTTTAATTTTTAATTTAATAATGGGGTGTCACGCTAACCATGAGATTATCAATTCAACTTATTAGACATGTTTTTTATGTATTTAAATTACTTATTTCGAGTGATTGAAGACAAAACATATACGTGAGTTATTATTATTGTTGTTCGATTGACTATTTGTGCTCATACATTATGTGTTGTGTGCATTTTTAAATAAAATTCGTACAATTTTAATAATTTTAGTTCATGATTTTAATTTCTTTCATTTCAATTCTGAATAGTGTCAACTTTAATAACTTTGTCTAAAATATAAAATTTATGACATATTAATAAAGACTCGTCCTACAAACGTTCCTTCGAAAAATGCGACCCATGCGAGACCTATTTTCAAAAGGATTATACTTTCTTAAATAATTTTTCTTGACTACAGTTTATATAAATTAAAAAAGATATTTTTTGTATAAAAACGCCTTCAAAGACCATGATCTTAATATTCAACACAAAAACTCTCAAGCTTATATGAAAAATTGTCACAATATATTTTATTAAATTTAATTAAAAACATATTAATACACCAAAAACAAAGAAGTGGGAAGTATTATTCACACGCTCTTTATTAAGACATATTAAAGCAATTCGTGATATTTTCTTATAATCATGTTATTGATAAGTAAATTTATAAGTGAGATAAAATTTTAAAAATAGATGAAAGGTTTACATAATGGATTTTTCTTCAATTTAATGTTTGAATAGTTTAAAAATTATTTAAATTTATTGAAATATGTTGTGAGAAATATTCTCTTTTAGACTTGCTTAAGTGCATTAATTGCCTCTTAAACCGAATTAAAGAAGAGAACTACCACAGACCTATAAGTTAGGTTATTTTTAAATAATTTACGCAAACATGAGAGATCATTTTAAATTGAATTTATAATTTAGATAATGTGATGTTATCTAATTCATTAAATGCATTAGTATAAAGATATGCACTATTAATCAAATATACCCGTCCCTATTACATTAGTTTTTCTTGGGAGAAAAAAAACAGTTCTGTATTTACCAATTAAATATTGAAACACAAACCAAATGATTTTGGTTGTAAATGATTTGATACTATACTTTGAGGTCTTGAATTTGAGTAATATGAATACTAAAAGTATGAATATTTAATGTCAAATAATTAAGAATTATCTTTAAATAGATATCACATTGCATTTGTCCCAAATTACTCAAAAAATATTAATTGAACCTTTAAATGATTACATTTTACACCAACAATCTTTAAAATAGATGGTTAAAAGCTCTCGGTTAATAATTTTTCTCCCTTGAATATTCAACGGACTATTATGCGTACTCTTGCCATGCTTTCAATGAGAAACGAAATACCAAATAATTTGGGGGATAATCTACGTCCAAAGTCATCTAATTATAAATTTAATAATAAATATGATATTTTTCAAAAATATATAAATATATTCTTCAATTAAAATATTATTACAAACATATTAGTATGTCGTTAAAATTAAAATAAATATATAATAAAACCTGGTATAATGATATTTTTAATCATCAAAACTTTTACAATTTATTAATTCTATACTAATTTGAAATAATTTAGAAAATGCAATCTTTTATATTTAAAAATTTCATCGATTTTTTATGATATTGTCAAACCAAACGAACTCATCATATTAAAATAATAGTTGGATAAGTACATTATTTCATATAGTAACAATTTAGTATTAAATTGTTATAATGCCATAAAAATAATATAATATTCCTTATAGAATAAAAAGCAATTTAATAGAAGAATAAAGATTAAAATAATATTTTTTAAAAATATGAAAAGTTAAATTTATTAAATTGTTTTGAATTATGACAAAATTGATATATTGTATATCTTTTAAAGACTAAAAGTGTTATATATCATGTTACAATAATATGTTTGTAATAATATTTAATCAATAATCTATTTATAATTTTTTTAAATATATAATTAAAAAACTTGTGTATAAGTGATATTTCTTTCTCCTCTTTGAATATTTCTGATGACATATTGTTCTTTTTATAACTTGCTACAAGAGTTCAATACCAGTTATAAAAGATATTTTTATTCATTCAATAAAACTTAAGCTTAGCGATGTATGAATTCTTCAAACTTTAAAAAAAAAATAAACACGACCTTCGAATTATTTCTGCATTCGATGCAGTTTTCAAACCCACGTAATGTGACCTTTTAACCAATAGTTTCCATCATTGACCGTTACGATGTTAATTGACAGTTTATAATACTGATACGAAGACCAACGGTGTTGACGTAATAATTCACGGTGACTGATGACGTAATTAAGATCATCTAAGAAAAAAGATATATTTTTTAATAGATTTTTTCAATTTTTAATTTACGATTTTTATCGATTCTGACATGTCATTGAAAACCCGAATGAATTGTAGAATTGAGACATAGGACCAATCGGTTTGGATTGGAAGCCGGTATATTCTAATTTTTTTTTCATCACTGACGGTTATATTAATTGGGAAACCTTCCTTTGCCGAAAGACTGACCTCTGGGAGGGGGCACTTAGGTAGGTAACTATTGGTGCACTATCTGTATTAGAGAGGGGATTTTATCCAATTTAAGTAAAAACATTCTCTTTAATTTTCTTACTCTCTCGATGTTTTGGATTACATTATGGTTTAAAGTAATTCAATGTGCATCAACAGATTGTTTTATTCGAATCAATACATTGTATTTTAGGAACAGAATTTCCCGATCGTTTACGTAGGAAAAAATAACTTTCCTTTTAAAAAATATATTCATTTCCCTTTTATGATAGATCGTCACTTTGTTCAACTACTGTCCCATTTTCATTACAATGAAGTAAAATTTTCCATTATGTACTTACGCTAACTATTGAACCACCCATGGTTCAAAACAGATCGAAACAAAGATGGCTAAACCCTAAAGATCTAACCATTAAAACCAATGACTAATGCTTTCATACTTGTAATAGTGTTTTCGGTTTGAGTTAAATATCATTCCCACGTTCAAAAAAGGGAAGCGTACCTACAAAATGAAAATGGGTTCAGGCAACTTGATTTAGCCCAACAGCCTTCAGGAAAATGGGTTAAAAGTGCTACCTGGACTACACGTTCTTAAACTCATATCCAATGTTTTGCTATTAAACGTGTTAATTACTTAATTTCACTTAAAAATAGCTTAAATTGTATTGATTTTATAAAAAAACACATAGTAATACAACATAAGTTTAACACTAGTTCAAATATATATACACACAATTATTAAAAAAAAACAAATATTAATTTTAAACAAATGATTTACTTTATGTCACAAAAAGTAAAATAACAACGTTAACGATAACATTATAGGACACATGTATGTTTTTATTATTACTTCCTTAGTCTCTAAACATTTTAGAGATTCTAAGATTTGAGTTATAGTTAAAGGGCTCTAAAATGTTTAAGAACAGAATAATGAAAAATGTAGTTTAAGGACAATAATTATTAACTAACAAACAAAAAATGAATGATGGATGCTTTTTTTTTGCTCATGAAATCAAATTTGGATCATTGGGAATTGGACTCATAATATAATAGAAGCACAATCCATGTACGTAATAAAAATATATCATCCCTGACAACCAACAAACAAAGGTCCATACTTCCAATTGGGCGAAGAAAACGGATATTGCAGTGAATATAACGCGACACACATGATCGATTGTTCATCTAACTGATGGCTTTTATGATACTTGGAAATGCTATCAGATCAGTAAAATCCACATCAAGATTCCATGCCATTTTGACAAAAGTGCTTTGCTTGAGTGAAAAAAATATATGATATTGTTTGTCTACATAAATGCAATCGAAAAAAAACACGCAAACATGATTTATAATTCGCCATAGATTAGGATCGGATCCGAAGCTCGTGATTGCTAACAGTTACATAGAAGTAAAACTCTGATACACCCTTAATTACCTTCAAATTGCTGCAAAGTAATCTTTGCTGAGTTTAGGGTCTGGTTTCATGGATTTCTCTCCTGGCTTCCACCCAGCTGGGCAAATTCATCTGGATTTTCCTGCACATACTGTAAGGCCTGCAGGAAAGTCGAAAAAACCAAATTATAAGGCAACATACCACAACGAAACTCAACCATAAAGCACGCAAAATCTATAATTCACTCTTATCTCTGGCCTCCATGAATGACACTAAGCACATACATCGGAATGGAAATTTAGACAATGGCAAAGCCGGCCTAGTAAATATAATTACCTGGAGTGTCCGCATTGTTTCATCAACACTACGCCCAATTGCAAGGTTGTTAATGGTAGAGTGCTGGATAACCCCCTCCTTATCTATGATGAAAAGTCCTCTCAATGCAATTCCCTAACATCCAAACTGAACTTGTTAGAATCATGTTTCCCATACAGCAATGCTCACTGTAGGGATACGCACAAGTAAGAAGAAACAAAAATAATCCACAATTTTTAGAATAATTTTCAGTTTTTCACAAATGTTACATATATATGCACTTCATTGGTCCAGATAATTCCTGAACTTACTAAATTCATTTCAGTAAATTTAACATCCATCCTTCCCTAGAAAGGATAGAAGACCCTCGGATTGAAACTAACATATCCTAAAAATTGATCGGAAAAGAAATATGTCTCTGCAGGAATTACTCTCTGCTAAAGGTGAAGCAATAGAAGTCAAGAATCATCAATTACAGAAACAAAATCCATAATTCATTTTTAAAAGAATCTGTGCTTTTTTTCCTTCTTCTTAATTTAAGCATTAGAATTAAGCATAGAGACTCGATGTTGGTATACTGGAGCACAAGCAATACCCACATTCATAATACCAGACCTCAACTTATCAAGTTTTCTCAGAAAACTACTTGATTCTCTTTCTTAATACAAAAACTTCACATTTGACTCCAACAATCTTGGCTTACCAAAAATTAAAAGAAAAGAAGAAAAAACAGTTCCTAAAGATGAAACCATTGAACCCAGAGGGCTAGAAAAACACACACACACAAATAGATGTGCTTGTAAAGCAATAATGTAAACCCCTTCGGTAGGGATGGCAACGGGCCGGGTTCGGGCCGGGTATTGGTCCCCCGTCCCCGTCCCCGTTTAAAAAACCGGTACCCGTCCCCGTTTAAAAAACCGCAGGGATTTAAACGGGGATTCCCATCGGGTAATCGGGAAAAACCGCAGGGAAACGGGTATCCCCGTTTAGCATAAACGTTTATTTAAACGGGTATCGATAGGGTTGTTCATTCGGTTAATTCGATGGCCGAACCGAACGAACTACCATTAACCGAATTTTTTTTTCTTTAATTGTTAATCGAACCAAATTTTTTTTCGAAAATATTAACCGGACCGAATAAATTTCGGTTAATTCGGTTAATTTTTGAATTAACCGAAATTTTTTAGAATTTTCGAATTTAATACTAGAGAGCAGCTGTTGTTCCATTTGCTAGGGAAGAACGTGATGTTGGTATAGGTCCCGAGACTGATTTTAATATGGCTAATTCACATGCTTCGCTTTGTCAGAGGAACGTTAAAGCTTGTGTAATGGAGACAGCTTGTATGAGGTTATTGGAATGCGAGGTGAAAATGAGGGTTGCTGTCGAAGAGACGAAGACAATATGCAAGTTGCATTGATTTTAAATTCTGCTGAACATAATTTCCAGCTTGCCAATGCTAGTGGTGGGCTTCAAGTGTGTAATGGTGTACTGGACGAGAACCCTGCAGCAAGTACACGTTCGTTGGAAGTGGCATAATACCACCAAACCAACCAGACTTTTCCCATTTAACTAGACAATGTTTGTCTATTAAAAGATATTAAAGGTTCACACGTGATTGCAAACAAGAAGTGTAAGCACTATTTTTACGATTAAAAGAAAAAAAGAATATTATAAGACAGCGAAAATTGAGGTAAATTCTAGAAATTGAAGCGGGGACGATTTTTTAAAGTGGGTCAGTATGGGGTGAAAAAAATAATAAAAAATATTTAAGGGTTAATTTAAAATATGTTATTAATATTATATATAAAAAAATAATTATTTTTAATATTTATCGGATCGGGTATCGGGACGGGTAATCGGGCCGGGGATTACCAAACCCGTCCCCGTTTAACATAAACGGGTTTTCCCCGTCCCCGTCCCCGTTTATCATCCCCAAACCCGACCCGTTAAATTCGGTTCGGGTTCGGGTTTTTTTGCCATCCCTACCCTTCGGTGACAATCCAGCCAGTCATGGGCACATCCCAATAATTGCCAAAGGGAAAACCCAGCAAATGTGATATGCAACATTCTTCGTGCAACATGTTCAAAACGTTAAAGAAAAGCTGACAGTTTACCAATCCAGGATTAGATGCTAGAAAACATGAAGTTATCACATACCTGATCAGGAATGAGCACTCCATAAGATTTTGAAATTGACTTAGTGACATCAGATACAAGTGGATACTTCAAGTCACCAAGGCCACCAGACTTTCTATCTGTTTGAACCCAGGCAAGGTGAGAGAACTGCAATAAAGTGTAAGCTGAGGTTAAGTTTTATATAAATTGGATGCAAAAACACATGCTAAACTATAATGTAACAAAGTACACCTCATCAATAAATTACAAATGCAGATGCTGCAATAAACATATTAATGCTTCTACACAATAAGTATAATAATGTAAGCTATTTTAAACACAATTACACAGACGATAAAAGAAAATTAAAATACTGAGAACCAGCTTAGCCCTTGGCATAATATCAACTTTTCCATATTCTATATGCGAATAAATAAGCACCTATTACTGGAGATTATGCAACTTTAGAGATGATTAAGTAACAAATCATTAATTTATTGTAGAGCACTAATACATCATTGACGCAGAGGTTTTCACTGAGGAGCTTACAACACTGTCAATAGAAACACCTAGTATTTCTGTGTTCAACTTCTCAAATTCCTCATAACGGTCACTGAAAGCAGTAATCTCTGCAAGAAGAAAAAAATTGGGGAGGTAAAAGTACGAATAAGAATCCAATATCATAAAACTTCAGCTTAACTGTTCAGACTGAAACAAACCTGTGGGGCAAACGAATGTGAAGTCCAATGGGTAGAAGAAGAGAATCACATATTTCTTCCCAATGTATTCAGAGAGTTTGACCTGAAACAATAATGCACGATCCAGAATTAAGTTGGAAAAAAAGTTCCATACCAAAAGAAGAAAAATAGTGACTGGCCTAAACATACTTCTACAAGCATCCACATAATACAACCTTAATGAACTCCTGATCAAAGACAGCCTCTGCCTCGAAGTCTGGAGCGGTATTTCCCACCAGTGGAAGCTCACTCTGCAAGACAATGCTCAAAATAAGAAATCGAAGACCTAAAACAGAAGATAAGACAGTGTCATCAAAACTTCAAGAAAATGCTATAAACAAATTCCAAGACTTTTTTCAATTTCACTCACATTTGTAATGTGCTTCTCTTTTTTAAAAAGATCAACAAAACTATTGAATTTAAACATGTTAATATATTTAAAACTGCATCCGCAAATGTAGTTAGCTTTAGCTTACACTTTGGCCATTCCAATGGAGTCTAAGACCCAAAAAAAATCGTACCAATCGATACAGGCTATGTTCATCATAATCAATTTGTTTAAAACCAAGACCGGTTACCAATTCCTCATTTTAAGCTCGTTCTAACTAATGCCTTTAAAAGATGACAAAAAATGTTCACTAAGCAGCGTTAAAGACTGAACACAGCCCAAAAAATTGTTTTTAGCTTAAAATATTAACAAAAATAAAGAACTAAATAAACCAAACATCACATTACAGTGTCTCCCCATCCTAATTTACCCCAAACAATTATCACAACTAGTATACATAGAAAACATATGATATATAGAAAATTAAGGAGATAAAAATAAAAGGCATATCACACGCTGGCTTTGACGACGAAACTATTCTGATAATGAGAGGCACGAGAGAGGGAAATGGAGCGGGCAACACGAGAAAGGAGAGGAGCACGGAGACCAGTGAAGGAATTAGGGAGAGAAAGAGATTGGGATTTGGGGGAGAAAGCCCTGGGCCTGGGGTTTGAGGAGATAAGAGCCGTGGTTGTGGTTGAAGTAGCGGAGCAAGCCATGTCTGCCTTTCACGCTTTATCTCTCTCGCAGTGAGCTGGAAGAAGATTATAATAAGGGGGAGAAATGAAAGTTCTGGAATGTAAAGAGGATAAGTGGAGGTAATGGGTTTAGGGTTGGGTGGGGTTTTATATTGGGTTACCCGCCTCCACACATTTTGGGTAAACCGGAGATTTATCTCATCTCACTCTGATTCTCAACAATTGAAATCTCATTTGATTTCTTTGAGATTTTAACTTCTTTTAACTTTGGGCTCTTAGCCTACTCTTGATTATGGGTGTAAATGAACATAAGCATTTGGGTAACCGTTCATACATCTATTTATTAAGTTAAATAAATTTGTATGAACGAAATTTTTATATTCATTTAATAAATGAGTAAACACAAATAAAAGTATATTCGGTTCATTTATATTTATGAACATGTTTATTTATGAGTTCATTTAATACATGTTCACGAACATGTTTATTTTTGTACATTTTAAACATCAATGAATGTAGGGACTAAATTGAACATATGGTAAAATTTGAAGTTTAAAATAGAAAGATTAAGGAGGTTAAGCAGTAGTGGCAAAATTTTATCATTTTTTATATTGCAAATGAACATGTTCGTGAACATGTAAACAAACATATAAACAGATGTTAAATGAATATGCTTGCATACGCTAAACGAACAAACACAAACACTTTTAAAAATAAATAAGCGAACACAAAGATGATATTAAAAATTTAAACGAATGCAAACCGAACATGAACACCTTTTAAAATAAACAAATAAACATAAACAAAACTTTACTTGTTTAAATTTCGTTCATTTACACCCTTAATCCCTATGTTTCTATTCATAAGAGAAAAAGCTAAGTTATCGAAATAGTGAATTTTGTTTCATAATTATTTACTCTTAGGAAGTCATTACAATTATTCATAATAGATAGATATATACATAAAAAATATTTATAGTAAAGAAAGCTGTACACATATTCATAACAATATTACATTATAATATTTTTATTAGGTCATTTTTCTAAATCTCCGAGGAAAGAATTGTACAAGACAATGGGCCTTATATCTAAATTGAACAAAGCAAAATTGGGCTCCAATCCATTTTGGTTTCATCACCCAATCTCGTATCGTATGAGAGAGATTTTGTCGGAAGTTGGAGTGTGTTTGGAAATCCAGAATCTGAGAGCAATCTGGCTGACCATCTTGAAGTCGTAAAATTTTCTATCCCTTATCCAATTTCTCTCTCTTCCCAAACCAGGGGAAAAAATGAAAAGAAGTGGAAAGGAAACAAAAACAGCAGGCAATGTAGATGCCCACACACCATGCGAGACACGCTCCCTTTCCTCCCCCAAACCAACCCCTTACTTTCCTCCCACCACCACAAACACCATCATTTCCCCTCACTCTCTCGCCATAGGAACCTCCATTTCCCCACTATTTCCTCTAAAACAATCACCCCCGCCTCTCTTCCTCCCAAAACCCATCCCCAACTCCCTTCCATTTCCCATCCGCCGCCGCCGCCGCTACCGCCACCAACCTCCCGCTCTGACTTCCAAGAGAAAATGCTTTACCTTGACTCCATCGGCCTTGATTTATTCTCTCTAGTCCAACGCCACCCTCCCATCATATCCGCTTCTCTCCATGATCTCAAATCCACCGTTGAATTCCTTTTCTCGTTGAACTTCACTACGCTTGAGCTTACCCGAATCCTCTCCATGTGCCCCCATATCCTAACCATCAAACCATCTTCCCTCCTCCCTATCTTCACTTTCCTTCTCCGCGAAGCCCGCGTCAACGGCTCCGATTTAAAGAGAGTTATCAACAGACGTCCCAGATTACTCGCATGCAACGTCGAGACCCAGCTGCGTCCCACCCTATATTTCCTCCAAAGCATCGGAATCTCCGAGATAAGAAGACACACTTCCTTACTGTCTTGCAGCGTGGAAAATAAATTCATCCCTCGCGTTGATTACTTCCAAAAAATCGGATTCTCTCACAGGAAATCCATCTCCATGTTCCGTAGATTTCCCCAACTGTTTAATTACAGTATTAAGGAAAATTACGAGCACAAACTGAATTATTTTGTGGTGGAAATGGGGAGGGATTTGAGAGAAATCAAAGAGTTCCCTCAGTACTTCTCTTTTAGCTTGGAAAACAGGATAAAGCCGAGGCACCAAATTTGTGTTGAAAAAGGGGTTTGTTTCCCTTTGCCTGCTTTGTTAAAGACGAGTGAAATTGAGTTTCGTAGTAGATTGGAGGTTTGTTGTAATTCCACGTTGCCCTTGAAGGGTTCTCCTTTATCGTGTTCTAAACATTGTGATATTTAATACTATGATTCAGTATAACAGTGAAAAATAATAATTGATTTTTATGTGGCTGCCTCCATTGTTTTGTGTTTCAATTTGAAGCTGCATCTGGATGCTGCGGTAGAAGCCCCTTGTACACGGATGGATTTTAGATGTTTTCTTGTATTTCTATTGATACTCTATTTGCGCCTCACCAGAATTTTATAAATTAGTCCCTTTTAAAATTTTAGAAATACACCCCCTTAGCATAAAATCCTATGTCCGTCTGTCCCTGTCCTTGTAGTCTTCTAAATGCAGAGCTTTAAGGCTCCGGTCATAAAAGGAAGATGGAACCTCCCACCGGCCATCAAAATGCTCCCAAAGTAGATTGAAATAAAAAAGTGTTAGATTGAATGGAAAATTCTCTATTATGACTGTTATTGAATAGTTCTCTAGTAGTATCAAGTTTGTGATTAGAGGACGTTCTTGGCCTACGTGTTATCTTGGGTGATGCTTGAGTATTTGTTGGTTGGTTTTGCTGTATTTGCTTGAAGATGTTTATTTGAGAGAAAAATTGCATTTTGCAGTGGTTGGGAATATTTTCTCACTTTTCATCTTCAGGATAATGTACATAACTAGCTGAAGCAAATACGTCGGATGCAGGATTTCATGTTAGGAGGGGTGAATTTATAAAAATTTAAGTATGAGTGAACTTATAAAATTTTAGGGGGGGAATATTTTCAATAGAAAATACAAATAAAATATCTAAAATATATAGAAATTTGAAAATTTTAGAGGGGTGACGACCGCTCCCACCCGCCCCCCTCTAGGTCCATCCCTGGGTGCATACATTTTTTGCTATCATTTTCAAATGGTTTAGTCCTCTGTTAACTGAAGTCAAGTAGTATCCTTGATGGTTTTCAAGTCAGTTATGATGGAAAGTTAAGGTTTTGGCATGATAATTGCTAAGGAATTCTTCACATATATTGGGTGAATCAGTAAGTTGAAATTCTGCTTTTACTCGGCAAACAATATTTGTTCTCATTCCATGGACAGGAAAGCCGTGTCGTCTGCTTTAAATTAAGATGGTTCACAGTGTTTAATCAGTTGAACTTGAGTATTGGGTTTTGGTTCATAGTGTCATTGGAGTCGTTTGTAGGATGAGAAACTGAAGTGATGGAAGAAACCTTGGTGTTTAATGCCATTAAGCAAGCTTATAGTGGCCACATTTGATTCCTCACTTGCATCTATTGGCATATTATAAGTTATTGTTCCTTTCATCTTCACGGGGATAATCCATTAATCCACCTTGGTTCCCTGTCATAGACTTCTGGGGACTTACTAGAAGATAAAATGATTTCTACAAACTTTTAAGCCAATAAGGTTTTCTAAGAGGGTAGACGATATGAGATTTGACAATCTTCCTAGTAACTCCTTGAACTTTTGAAATATTTTGTTTCCTCCTGACATGCTCAACATTTTTCTTATATAAAGTGAAATATTGACATACTCAATTGCTCATTAACAATGCAATAAATTCTGGAAATGTTTAATTGCTTCAAGCGCCATGGAACTTCATTCTTTATGTACTTTGAGAAAACAATTCAGAAAGTGGCCACCAAAAGTAGCTTAATTAATTAATTAATTAATGGATAAAATAAATCTCAGGTCATTCAATTATATGTTGGGCAACAAATGAGTCAATTTTTTTAAGTTACAAACAGTCATTTCGTCGTTAAAAATGAGTTTTTTTTTTAAGTTACAAATATGTTATTTCGTCGTTAAAAATGAAAAGAAAAATGTCTAATGTGATTGGAATAATAATATTTTTGGTCTTCAAAATTTTATATATTCTATCATTTTTATCACAGTTTGAGATAGTCTAATTAACTTAATCTTTCATTTTTAAAATTTCTGTTAATATCATTTTTATACTGTCAAATCAAGCGAGTTAGACGAATTAGGGCAGTAGTTGGATAATAATATTTTATTATAAAATAATAAATTATTATTAAATTGGTATTATATTAAGAAAGTAACAGCAAAATAATATAAGTTCATAAAAGAATAACAAGGAATTTAGGAGAAAAACAAATATTAAAATGATGAAGTTTATAAATATGAAAGATTAAATTTATTGATTTTTTTTTTAAATTAGGATCACATAAATATATTGTACAGGCATAATGTCAAAATTAGTCTCCAATGTTTATCAAAATAGTCTATTGGCTCTTATTTTTTTGAGTATTTTTACCCTTGATGTTTCATTTTAGGACAAAAAGGTCTTAAAATGACAAAATAGTTGCTTTGACTCTTATTCTTTTTTCCTTGAGTATTATAGCCCTCAACATTTCATTTTAGTTGTAAAAAATCTCTTATTTTGGAGCGTTAATAGTGTGTTAACTAATAATTTTCATCTATATAGAAGTCTTTTTGCCTTAAAATAAAATGTTATGATCAAAATATTTCAAAAAAAAAATATGTGATAAAATAATCATTTTAGTAAATATTGAAGGCTAATTTTATATTTTGTCAAAAAATAAATCTTTCTCTCTCTCTCTCCTTTATCCTCTGTTTTTGGGAATTTTGTTATATTTTTATATTTTTTTTGTTTTTATTTCTGTATAATTTTTTCTTTGATTTATTGTATTTGAAATTTAGATGGTTGATGTTAGACCGAATAGAATTAAGGCACATTTTTAACTCCAAATTTTTTATTACATTTAGAATGGATGAAAATTTATAAAATTAGATCGGATTAAATATTGAATGGAGTAAAAATATTAAACTCAATTCTAAATCGAAACGATTTAATCCCGACTCTACTTAACCCATATCCATCTATAATCATATTTCAATTGTTCTTCCTACCGATTATGTTGTCAACTTTTAAAGAGGGGAAACTAAATATTGGCAACAAAACCACAAAGATTACTTGTTTGATGTCAGCTTCGTCAAATTTGATATCTCAACTCCCCCTACCTAGAAAACCCCAATGTGATCCTTACGTAAAAGGCCCATCATCCTGAAAAACATATGTAAAGACAAATGGATAATGGTCAATAATCAAATGTTCAGCACTAATATTGCACGTGAATGTTTAAAATATGCATTAAGCTTGTTTTCTACTCAAGGCATTGCTTCCTCATTTTTTTTTTCTGAAATACATCGAGTACTATCGTGTGATACATGATAATTTTGCACATCAATGGAAGAAAATGATCCATTTAATATTTATATCATGTTTATACTTGAGATTTCAATATATTTAACCGCGGGAGCTAGACATAAACAAATATAAAGTTTTGATTATAAATGAAATGGCCCTGCGATTATAGGGCAGCTCCACCTATCTTCAAGTAGGGAAATACGTTTACCCTAAACAAATCATAAATTAAGAACAAATAATCTACAAGTAATAAATAAAAATAGTATGTTTTCAAGTTCCAATACACAATCATGGCCACTATGTACCTTTGAAGTCATGCCCAAGCCCCTTAGGTCATTGATTACATGTAAACAGTAAAGCTCCTTTCTTCCTAACCTTTGCCCCAACATCTAGTCAAAAAGCGTTTTCTAAGTAGACTAAAAGGAAAAGCTCATGCATTGTTCTCTTTTTCATCCTCCCACTTCGCACATGACTCTCAAATTTAATCTATTAATGTATAGTTTATTGTAATTATTGCAAGACCCTTTCTTCAATAAAGCATACTGATCAGATTTGACGGTCGTGATGAAGTTGTCATGCAACTAAAAGTCACAGCGGGCTCACTCTATCACCCTTGGATTTCCCTGCTCGTATGCAGCATTTATAGGCAACTTCTCTAACCCTAATTCAACACGAGTCTAGTACCATTTTCATGCAATCAGTTTGCTTATTCTTTCCCTTTTCAGCTCAAAATCGAAAGTCTACAAATTTCTTCAATCTAGCTCTGTTGTAAGCTATCTGTTTTAAAAATGTCGAGCAACAGAAAGAAGCTGATCTTTAATAGAGTTTCAGTCAGCTTCGGGTGCAGCAGCTGCAAGAAACCCAAGCTGACGAGTTTTTTCAACCCAAAACCGAAGCCAAAATCTCCATCTTTTAAAACCCATTCTCATTACAGCTACTCTTCTTCAAGCTCATCCAAGAAAACAACCCATTGTTCTTTCTCTGAATACGAAACCGCCACCTCTTTTTCTCCAAGCACAGATACCCCTCTGTACTGTGGCGTCGACAACGATTCAGAGAAAGGCGCCACGTCTTCAACGGCCACCGTAAGAGGATTTGGTAGAGTCGGAAGAGAGAGCCTGGCGGTGGAAAAGCACTCAGATGACCCTTATTTGGATTTCAGGCACTCCATGTTGCAAATGATATTGGAGAAAGAGATATATTCGAAAGATGATTTGAGGGAGCTTCTGAACTGTTTCTTGCAGCTGAATTCGCCGTATTACCATGGGATTATTGTTAGAGCTTTCACGGAGATATGGAACGGGGTGTTCTCCTCAGTCAAGCCTGGCGTTGCTTCTTCTTCCTCCTCGAAGCTGCATTTTGGGTTGAGACCACGTGACTTGTAGGTGCAGCTGATGCCACATTTTTGGGGGGCTTTAGCTTTGAGTACAGTACAGTGTGGGTGAAATTGTTTTTAGTAAATTCCGATTGTTGGCATTTAAACAAATATTTTTCAAGCTTAATGCTATAAAAATGAATGTGAAGCTTTTAGAAGCATTAATGGAAAATATTTCTTTAAACAAAAAAGTCAAGGAGTGTGTTTATTTATGGTGCTTCACGTAAACTGTATAATTAGAATATGTATGGGTCATGTGTTAGGACAATATGTTTTGGAAATATGCTGTGTGTACTCCAAAAAAAAAATTGCTGCATGTGTCTTCTTTTTGTTTGAATTCCAGTTTTGGGTACTTAACCAATCTGAAAATTTTGCTTCACAAGTGTGTTAGTGGGTAAGCAATTTTTAATATATTTGTTATTATTATTATTTGGTATAATTTATTTGCATGTATCTTGTAATGGTAACCTCGTAAATTATGGTGAGCTAGTTGGTGGATTCAATATTTGAGATCATGGAGTTGATTTTTGAGCCGACCCAAATGGGTAGGTGCTGAGTTGTTTGTTAACCTAGATGATTGATTTTATGTTAGAGAAGATTTTTTAATATTTAATAAAAAAATATAAAATTTTAGAGAAATATAAATAAATTATCAATAAAAATATAAAAAACTAAAACATTAAATAAGTTAAATTTTTCAATAATATTTAAAATTTTCAATAATATTATTAAAGCTAATTGATTGTTTGAAGTTCTGCCTACAAGAAGGGTTATTTTCATTGCTAGCTCTAAACCTTTATCATATTTTTATACTCCGATGTAGGATGGTTAATACTTAGTTCAACTCAGTAATTAGGTGTAGCTAGAATCTTAGATTTCAAGTTTGACTCTTACTAGTCATATTTTGTATTTTCATTTCTTCCATAGAATGATTGTGATATATATATTATTTTATTAAAATTGTAATGAAATTAAACAGATAAAAAACATTTATAGAGTACTAATATTCATCGTTAAAGAAAAGATGTTTTACTAAATATTATTATATATTCACTTCAATTAAAAAATTAAAACTTTTAATTATTTATAATTATTAAATTATTTTGATGATGGCTTTCTTCCTTTTTCTTTTATGAGAATCTCATAATTATAATTCTGTAAATAGATACGGTTATCTGATCGATAAAAGTAGACGTGAATGTGATTTTGTTGTCATAGTTGAAATCATTTGAGACGAATACTACAACCTCTTAAATCTCATAACTTTTTTAAAGTTTCTTTTGGGTATTACAAAAAGAACAAAGCTCAAAACAAGGTACTACTTTACCATGAGATGCTCCTCTATGCTATAAAAATACACCTCCCCTCATGTATAGTTGGAATATCTTAGCATAAATTATAATATTATTTAACTATATATTTGATCACAATCATATTATTTAACCCTATTCGTCCATCTCACATAAATTATTATTATTATTATTATTATTATTATTATTATTATATTTATCTTGAATTTAATATAACTTTTTATTTATATAAATATGAATTCGTTTGTCCTATATAAATTTTATTTTATATATTTACTTTTAATTATCATAAACTTTAAATGTCTTTCTAATTTCATTTCACTATTTTCTTATAAATTAAATTAAATAAATCTTATAAAATCTTATAAAAAATAAATTTTAAAAGTACTACAATTAAAATTAAAAGTTTCTCCCTAAATAAAATAAAATCACATTAGAATTTGTCTCTAAATTCAATGAATTATTTAACAATAATATCTTCAATCACTCTAGTTAATATATATATAATTTTTTAGTAATTGATCTTCCGCAAGGATCAAAACCAATAATATTTGGACTCTAATTGATCTTCCTCAAAGATCGAAACCAATAGAATGTAAACGAGTGTTTAAAAGAAAGAATACTCCAACGTGGGGTTCTCCAACCTATAAGGCTAGGTTGGTGGCGAAAGGATTCAGACAAAAGGAAGACCTAGATTATTTTGATACTTATGCAACAGTGGTTAGAGTGACTTTCATTCGAATTCTTATGACACGTGCGTCTATTCATAAGTTATAAATACATTAAATGAATGTTAAAATAGTCTTTTTAATGGTGATCTTGAAGAGGAAATGTACATCGAGCAACTAGAAGGCTTTGCGATTTCTAGGAATGAACATAAGGTATGTAAGTGGATGAAATCATTATATAGTTTAAAACAGACACCTAAGTTATGTCATGAGAAATTTGACCTGGTTATTTTATCATACAATTTTTTACATAATGTTGGAAATAAATGTATTTATACTAAATTCACCGATAGGTACAATGTAATAATTTGTCTTTATGTGGGCGATTTGTTAATTTTTGGGACGAACATGGAAGGTGTTTGCGAGACCAAAGAGTATCTAGCCTCAAATTTTAAGATGAAGGATCTCAATGAGGTAGATACAAAAACATGAAAATGGTTTTTCACTAAGCCGGTCTCACTACATAGAAAAAGTTTTAGAAAAATTCAAACACTCTATGCGATTCGAACTTTAAATTAAGTGAGAATAATGAAAGAGTTATAGCACAACTTAAGTGATGATTTATCATCATCCAAGGGACATGTTTCTTTAAAGAGACATATCCTACATTAAATGTTACGACCTTTCAAAGTGATGCATATTGGATGCATATAAATAGATGATTGATTGTGTTTTTCAAATCACTTTTTTCTTTTGCAAACAATCCAATCTTCTATAACAAGAGTAAGAATAAGAGAATTTTTTTTATTCTGCTTATCAAAGAAAATTCAAACTTCGTTGTATCCTAGGAGGCCCTCTAACAACTTTGTGTGAGGACAAATAGTTTTCTTTGGAAAGCGTTATCTGCGACTTGAGCATTCAAAAAAGTTTGTGAGAAAGATTTAAATAGCTTGTTAAGAAGAAAACTACAAGTGGTGGGAACTGGGGACTTCAATTGTAATATATTTTGTATTGTTGTTGTTGGAACACCGTCTTTAGCCATGCTGGTAAACATGGATACTGAGTTGACTATAATTACCCAATGACTTTCTCATGATTTCAGGAATGTTTTAACTCAAAAATAAGTATCTAAGTTATATTTAAAGTTAACTTTAAACGTTTAAAAAATATTTTGCTTAAAATATATATCTAACGTTTTCAATGTTACTCTTTTATGTGCCAACACTGTAACGACCGTTAAAAAATCCATTAAAAATGAATTAATCGATCAATGTTTGACTTGTGGCATCAATTTTAATTTCCTTTAATTTTTTAAATAAAATTTATAAATTTTCAAAAAAAAAACCCTTTCTATTCTTTTTTCTTTTACAAAACACCCTAAAAATTATAAAACCCCAAATACCTCCAAATCACCAACTCAAAGTCCATCATCGTCGTCGGCTGTCATCATCATTGGTGAATACCCACACAACGTCGACGGAACCACTACCAGCCATCAGCCCGTCACCAATGCAAGATCAAAGCGTTTTGACACAAATCCCAATAAATTCCCCGTCGTTCTTGAATCACCCGCAAATACCCCTTCCTCGCAGTTCTTGAACAATTTGTTGGTCATTCTTGAATCACCTAGCAAATCCTCCCTCGCCTCAAAGTAATCAAATTTATTACAATTTGTTTGGTGGAATTTGCGTTGGGATTAAATCCTAGTAATTCCTCCTCCGTTATTCATGGGTTGAAATTTTTAGGGTTTAAGGATTTAGATGAATGATGGTCAGTTAGTGGGTGGGTGGTGACAAATGAGTGTGTAACATCCTCAATACCGGGTTAGTGACTAAATTGGAAAGTTTCAGATTTTGGTGATTAAAATAGAATGAATGAATAGTATAAAGATTTATATATAAATGATTGTGTAGGATTGAATTGAAAGGAAGAAGGAATGGAAGGGCAAAAGAGTCATTTGCAAGGAAAATTAATTAAAGAAGGGATAAGGATATATATGAGTACAAGTGGGATGAAAAGAAGAGAACACCAAAGCCTTCCAGAGTTATCTTCTTCTTCTTTCTTCCTTGTACGTGTGAACCAAAGCAAAGGTAAGAATTCTGATTATTGAGTTTCTTGTTAAATTTAATATTGGGTTTTGATTATTAGATGATAACTAAGCTTAAGGAAAGCTTAACATCAAAGGATGATTGAGTTAGGAGAGATTTAAGATTTGAAGTTCTTAAATGAAATCTTGGAATAAAGTTCATAACTAGAATTGAAAGTTATATTTGACTTGTCATCAATCTAGTTAAGATATACGAAGTGTTAAAAACGGAATTCAAACATGTTGATTTATTAATGTAATTCTTGAATTACATATGAAGGATAGGATTTAAAGGTTTAAGATGAAATAAATGAGTATGAATTGGTTTAAGGATGTGTACTAGAGTTAAGAATGAAAAAGGGGATTAAACATGAAGGATTTAATCTAAATGAATGAACTTTCGGGTTCAAAAAGAGGATTCTGGGCAGAGTGCACATTCATGGTGCATCGATGCATCAAGGTTAAAACCCAGAAATTGTTTGAATGTGCACCGATGCATTGGTAGTGCATCGATGCACTCTTTTAAAATAAAGACATCGAATGCAATTCATGCATCGATGCATAAGTAGTGCATCGATGCATCCCATTAATAATGAAACATCGAATGCAATTGGTGCATCGATGCATAAGGAGTGCATCGATGCATCCCATCAATAATACTACATCGAATACCTTTTATGCACCGATGCATCAGTAGTGCATCGATGCATACCTTCATTAAAAGATGAAATTGACTTTTCTCTTAGTCTAAAAAGTGAATCATTAGAGCATATTAGTTATAATACTGATATAGATTCATGTGCGATTATGTAGATACTAAAAGTAAGCTTATTCCGGAACGATCAAAGGATTAGAATTGAATCAAAGCAAAGCTAAGGTGAGTGCATACTATATGTATATTATAATGGAATAAGACTTGTGATAAGTCAAATCCCTATGTTGATTTTTATAATACAGTAGTTGTGAACATGCATACATGATAATTATTGTGATACATGCATAAGATATATATATGTTCATGTGATATGATATGATATGATATGTGATATGACCTGTGATATGAGAACATGATATGAAGTGATATGAGATACATGATCACAAGAGAAATGATATGAGTACATGAACATATGAAATATAAGAATAATGCCCATAGTATAAGATATGAGAATTATAGGTGTAATTGGCATGCCAAGAGTCGAGGGTATAATAGTCCTTCGGGACGTAGTCTTTCGGGATGTAGAAGTCCTACGGGACGAATACTGAATTAAGGTTCGGTGCCCCATGAGGGAATAGATACGAGCTGTGGTGACAGCATTAGTGCACAACCTCAATGCACTCACATACCTCTAATCTCAATAATATACATGGGCTATGCAATTGAAATACCGATTTACAGTGAAAGTGATACAAGAAGGTAAGTTTCGTATGTGCATTATATTATATGTTATCGTGCGATAGATACACGCATATTGAAATGTCATGATCCAAATGTAAGTATGAACATTCATAAGTTTATTGTTGCATATTCATTTATTGCCTCACTAAGTCTATGACTTAGCGTGTAAGTGATTTACACGTAGGTACCAAGAATCAGGAAAGGTGAAAATAGAAGTAGCACGGACAACAATACTACTAAGAGATCAGATCAGAAGTAATTGACAAAGTATGTACTTGGTTATGTATAAGTGTTGGTATGTAATAAGTGTTAATTACGAATACTCTGATCGATTTTGTATTTTTATGGTCTTATGTAAATTAAAGTATTTCGTTTTAATGAAAGTTTTAAAAATTCCCGGGATTTTCTATATGAGTCAAGGTTTTGAAAAGTCAATGTGAAACCTCAGACTTGTATTCGGGTCGGATATGAGTTAAGGGTGTTACAGAGTGGTTATTCGACAACAGAGGTGATGACCGAAGATGACCGTTGACGACTATAAATGGAGTTTGAAATTAAAGATTTTAAGGTTTTGGTTTTTTTTTCTTGTATTTTTTTAAATTAGGTCTTTTTAACAATAATAATAAATTTAAATTATTTTAAAAAATAATTTAAAAAAAATTATAAACGCGACACGTGTTAGATAACGTTTTCTTTTTTAATATAGGTACTTAAAAGAATAACATTGAAAACTTTAGGCACCTATTTTGAATGAAAAAATCTTTAAGCACCTAAAATTAACTTCAAATATAGTTTGAAGACTTATTTTTAGATTAATCCTTTCATGAATCTTCTCTGTTGTTGTTCAAAATCAGCGGAGTTGATTGTGATGAAAGAACCATAACCTGTCCATCCATACTAATCATGGGAAAACCATGCATGTATTTTATTTCTTGAAAAACCGAGAAACAGTTGTTTTCTATGAATCCCAAATTGAAAAGAACATAACAGTCACAATGAATTGTGGAGATACCTTGATGTAATTAATGCTCAAGCCTGCAAACAATTGTAGTTAGCCCATCGTATGTGTTTCTATATCTTGTATCGCCTTGAATCGATAAAGATTAAAGACAAACAACCTGTAGGGTAATCTTTCAAAAAATTATTTCCAGAGTGTATCGATCGAGTTGACATTATAAATAAAACATTATGGAATGATTAAGTTTATTGAATTGTTTCGAATAAAATTGATGCATTTTGATCTGATGAGTTCTTTTAATTTGACATTATTAAAAAAATTGATGAATTTTTTTAAATATAAATGATTAAGTTTATTGAATTGTTCGAATAAAATTGATAGAAGGTATAAATTTCAAAGGCTAAAAATATTATTATTTCAAATACGTTAGATGTTAATTTCAGTTTTAATGCTAAAACGACATATTTATAATTATTAGGGAAAAAATGTTACCAAATTTATAATTAGGTGATCTTAGAGATATATTAGTAGTTTTTTTAGCTAGGAAAGCACATTGTCTCACGTGAAACCAAGGAAACAGAACAATATTATTATAGCAATACTCATTTAATGTTTATTTGGGTATATGACACTCAAAATATTTATTTAGGAAAATAGCATTTGGTAAAGATGCACTATGCAGGTCGTGTTTTTAAAAGATATGTTTTGTAGGGAGCGCTTTTATCGATGTGGTAAGGATTTCAAGTATAATTTTTATATTTGAATCATTTGAGATTAAAATGAAAGAAATAAGAATAATAAGTTAAAATACTAAAAAAAGTGTACGAGTTTTATTTAAAAAGAACAAATGCATGCATAACGTGTTGAGAATACATATTTGCACAAGCACGGGCACGAACTAGATGGCGACAACACGTATGTATAGATCTTATCTTAATCACTCAATAAGTGTATGCTTAAAAGGTTATATGTAAACATTGAATTTTTTTTTAAACAATGTGAAATATGAGAATTTTATGACCAAAACTAGTTGATTTTGAACTATCAAAGACAAGTCTTGAATTTGATCAAACTCATATTGGTACGACAGTTAAAGACAATTTTATATACTTGGATTACGAGTGTTTCAGAAGATAACAATCATCTTTGAGAACTGTAATGATATGAATCTGATCAAGTTTAAGATTATCTTTAACAATTCAAAATTAACAAAATTTGGCCACATTATTTAGATATAAAATTTTCAAGTATTTAAATATAGCGTTTTAAACATACATTTCATTGGATAATTGAAGATAACATATACGATTGTGCTGTCGCCTTTCTTACTGTCCAATTCATGTTCATGCAAATGTGTGGTTTTAACATGTGTTGTATGTATTTCTTATTTTTAAATAAAATTTATTCAATCAATTTTAATATTTTTAGCCCATTATTATATTGAAAAGTCTACCTATAATTTATGCCACATCAATAAAGATTTGTCTTTTGAAAAACGCAATCTACATAGCACATTTTTGCCTTGCCAAAAGGGTGTTGTAAGACAATTCCACGTATCATTCCCCCTTCTGAATATTTTTGCTTACAAAAGATTGCATTTATGAGATCTTTAATTTCTCCTTGCATCATTAAGTTATCACCTATTACTGGATTTCAGGCATCTATGGTAGGATTTACTTTAATTTCTAGCAAATATGATTTATATATTATTTTTTAACACGATCCTTCTGCCAATGTTTTATTTAAAGGATCCTTGTTCTGTGTTCTAATGGTTCTCGAAATTGGGAAAGAAAAAGACAATGCTTCAGCTTCCTGGTTTATATAATTAAGAAATATATATGTGCATTTTAAACTATATAATTCAATTTATTAACTGTAACGAAATAACACAACAAGAGATGATGCAACATTAATATAGTGTGTCCAAAGCTAAAGTATTTTATGCAATTGACATATAAAGTAAAAAGTTGGACACACGGATAAAATCCCATTAATCAAACAGCATCCCTTCAACATAGTTTGACAAAATAGGATAACGAAAATGGGGACAAGGAAAAGTAATTGGGACAGGGATTCCCCAGTTGTATGTTCTTTACCTTAAACAGGATCAACAAACAGTACAAACTATATAATTGCATACCGCGAATCCAGTTAGATCCAGCATATCTATATAAATATATATTTATGGCCTTGCAAGCTAGAAGTAGGTACCCTCGGGAGGTTGTACCAGCTTCCGGTTATAGGGGGCTGCCATTTCCTTCTTCAGCTGTGTCAGTATATCCTCCATGGTATACTCCCTTTGCCAATTTGCAAGAAGTCCGAACTTCTTTGGTTCCACCTGTTGCCATTGGATACAATCAAATCCATGTCACTAGTCATCACACATAACAATATAACAAAATAGAGTTGCATGAATCATAATGCACCTGATAGTTGAAATGGCTAATCAATGAAAAGCGTCATAAATTAACTGATTATTGGATCAAACAAATGTTAATATTATTGGTATACCATTCCAGTTTCATGGTTAACACAAGTCATGTTGATCCTCGAATGAAAACGGACAGTTGGAGGCTTCTCTGGATAATCTTTATCACAGAACAACTTCAGCTGATAGATTCGACCTTCATGTACAGTCTGAGAACATGAAAAATAAAAATCACCACAATTGCATGTACAAAATGATGGTTTTCAAAAATACCCAGAAACACCTGTTGTTCACATCAAAATCAAGGAGAGTAAGGCAATTCCAAAAGCAAGCACATTATGAGAATGCTAATTATTTGTAAAAAGAACTACATGAAAAGAATTACTGAGTGACAGTAAGATACTTGATGCTTTTGAACTCAGAAGATTCATATATGATTGTCAACACAAACATAAAGTTTCAACTTAGGAACTACGCCATAACATATAATACGCTGACTGAAAAAAAGCAATTACATTGTGAGGACCAATTATGGTGCCAGTCCAAGAGCGCATGTAAATATCATCTCCATCATCCATTCCATAGCTTACAGAACCATCTCCAATACCTTTTTCTCCACGCTCAAGCTCCTCCAGCAATCTGAAGTTCCGAGGCACTGCAAAAAGAACTTGTAATAATCAATAAAACCCATGATCCTTTGCACTAATAACATAAGAAGTCTTAGTATTGGGATTAATGCTAAATAATTCCTGTTTCCAGAGAAGGTTGAGAAAGGTAATTAACTTGAAAGCCATAAAACCCTTTCAATCTGAATAATGTAAAGTACAATTAGATTGCACAAGCATGGATGAGGCAGCTCCCTATGCTTCTTGTATAGCAATATCATATCAGCACAAGGTTCCACTTATCGTGAAATAGTAACAGAAATTCCTTGCAATGCGATGGCAAAGACAATTAGCAGTGAACATATTTAAGGGGGAAAAAACTCTAGTCCCCCTTTATTACATTCTCCAGTAGTTCAATGTTCAGACTAAACCCCCATTGAAGTTTGAAGGTCCGGGTGGCATACAAAAGGAAATGAAGCGAGCTCAACAATGACAAGAATGACTTGTCCCTAATATACTAGTGTAAAGGACTCCCGAAAGGCACAGCTACTGACAAATGATTAGTTATGGAAAGCTACCAATAAATCGATACGTTCAGTCCTCCAATATCATAACGATTCATATAAGCTACAGATTACAACTCTAGAAGCCAAAAGCAGCAATGCTTCTACACCAAAAGAACTTTAACATTATCAAGGCCAATATCATGTGCTTTTAAGAGATAAAAAGACACACAACGCAATTTCCAGGTTCTCTAATTCAAGATTTTACATGAAAAGCACATTCAAAGTTCAAACAACCGGTGGACCACTCATACAAAATTTTCATATAGGAAGCCAAAAAAATCTTAATATTTTAATACTAATTATTAATAAACCACAACAAACATTCATCAGGAACCTAAAATATTGTGAGATAAACAGCCACAACAAAATACTTTGAATTGCTAATTAAATACTCAAACTTGACAAAAAAGCACACACTTTACGTCGAATATAACAATAATGCAACCAGCCCGAAAACGAAAGCAAAAATTAACAGCTACACAAAGCTTTAAATCAATAACAATCGAAAATTAGAGGAAACCCCTTTCAATTTCTTATCACGAGTCCAAATAATATGACCAATCCCACAAATAATAACCGATTATACAGGAAAGAAACGATGAAACAACAAAACCAATAAAACCCATGAATATTCCTACAAAATATCAATAAAAACGCAAGATCGGGTGAATAAGCAAGAGGGTATAAAAAATAAAGAGAAAAAGGGACAGGGGATCGAAGAACGAACCCACGACACTCGATCCCCCTGAGCCAAGCGTCATTGGTGGTTAACTGGAGGATTTTGATAAATGGGTTTGGAGAGATCTGACGGAAAATAGAAAGAGGGAAAGATATCTAGAGAGAGATGGGGGTCAGAGTCAATAATCTGGTGAAGGAATGGCGGAGGGCCAAGCTGTGGTATGCGGAGAATAAAGAGGACATCTTCGTTTCCTCTTATTATTATTTTCCCATTATTAATATCGATTATACAAAAAATATTATGGTAAAATAAATATATTATAGTGATTAGAGAAAACTTTTTTTCGATCAAAACCCATCAACGGAAATGAGGAAACAATGGAGCTGTAGAATTGTGCCTAATATTCTCTTTGATTTTTTTATACATATTATAATATATTTTATGGAATAATGATAATGTATATTGTACTTTTAATAAAAGGTTTAAATTTTAACTTTGATAATAATATTGTAAATTGCGACAATTATTAATTTTAGACACAAATAGTAAAATAGATATAAATAGTATATTTAAATTACTATATATTTATATAAAATTATTTTTATTAAATTTATATATAAAAATTAATGTCTTACTTTTTATGATATTTAAAAATATATTTTATAATTCATATTTAAAGTTTGTAATTGTTATTCTTAATAATATTACTATTAAGGCTTGAACTTAAATAGTGATTGTTATTCCTAATTGCATGAACCAAGTGATGGTAAAGAGATGGTTGGGGACTAAAATACTAAAAAAAAGGGCCAATGTGAATATAATATAATTAATATACTATGTTTTTCATAAACTTGTTGTATTCAATAAAATTAACAAATATTATTAATTAAAAATAATATAAGAATAATTCACTGGTAACTCTTCGAAAATTCTGTTTATTTACCACCCACCATGTACCGGAAGGCCCAAGGATACTGTTCGGCCCAGAGTACGTAAAGTCCACTCAAAGACTTTAATACCATATTCACACCACTGCCTTCCAACAAAGAAAGGGAAAGACAGATTTTCATCTAAAACACTGTTTGTCTCCGCTATTTTCCGCTTCTGTTGCCCGGTATTATTGCATTTCCTTTTCAAGTGTTCTTCTTCTTCTTCACTGTTTTGGGTTTTTCATTGTTTCTCTGATGCAATTGTTTTTGCGTATTAGATGTTCGGTGAAGTGCCTATACGAAATATGGACCTTTTCTTCTTTTTTATTTTGTATTTTTTTTGTCTAAATGCTTGGCTCAAGTTAATGTAACTGCAGTTTATTTTTTATGGGTGTTTTTCTTTTCATCTTTAGGGTGATTAAATTCTTATTTTCAGGTTTCTTCCCTGCTGTTAAATATTGAGTGTGTCTAGGAAGAACTAACAAAAACTTCGTATTTGTAGCTGTTAAAAGGTCACCTTTCCGAAATCCAACCAAACACGTAAAACTACTACATTTTTGAATAACTTGTCATTTTCAACTATACCCTTTCAGGTTTGTGCAATGGAATTTTTGTATGTTCTCTTACTTAAGTGATACATTTGTCACGGTTCCCTTACCTCTAGTTGTGCAGTAGATTAGATGAACAGATTTTTGTTTTTATGCTTTGGTTTTATGATGCTTAACTAAGGAGTGCTTGTAGTTGTTGAACTTTCGGATAACTATGTCATTTATCACTATTATTGTTGGCCGTGCAAGTATTTGAATGATGTTTAGCACTTATTCATTAAGGCAGTATAGCAAACATCTCCTTTCTACTCATTTGAGTAGTGCTTTGTGCGTTAACATTGATGTGTCATTTATACCTGTGACTGTTCAAAACCAATGTAAGGTGCAGAATACTGCATCATTTAAGCTTGTAATGTGCATCTAAATTGATTTTCTTTCTTTTAACCGAATAATTATTCTTCCCTTTCCCTATCGCTCTCTCTTTATAATTTTGATACAGATGTCTTTGTATATCGGTCATCTATCGTCTCGCACTCATAGGGATGAACTTGAGCATGTTTTCAAAAGGTTTGGAAGATGCAATGTGAAGCTGAAAGATGGATATGGATTTGTTGTGTATGACTACCCTCCAAATGCACAAAAGGCTTTGAGAGCGCTTCAAGGAAGAAATATCTGTGGGAAGCCATTAACTCTCACATGGTCAAATAAACAGCCTAGACCTTTCAAAAAAAATTATAGGGCTGATCAGACCTATGATCGCAACCCACGTAGAAAGAGGAGTCCAGCTAGAGGTGGATATGTTGGTAGTAGAAATTTTGATGTAAATGTTCAGCTAGATTATAAAGACTAGTATTGAACAACCAGAGAGTCATGGTATGGTGCAATTTATAAGGGAAGAAAATCACAACTATAGGGAAGATTCGCTGAATGAAAGTGGTCAGGATGAATCTAACCAGATGGATGATAGGTGGGATGGGCAACGCCATGATCATTCTAATGGTAATGACATTGAGCATGAAATGGAATTTGACCGCTATGTAGATTATGACAGGAAAGCTGACGCTGAAAATCATCGAATTGTGTATTCCAGTGGTTCTCCTGCTGAACAAAGCCCGCCAGAGAAAATAGTGACAGAGCTGATAGGGGAAGAAACTCTGAACCATCCCAAGGATTCAAAAGTGCAGCAAGCTTGTTACAGCTGCGGTGCCTTGGGTCACAAAAAGCATAACTGTCCCCATGAAATTACTTCAGGAAGATGTTTCTCCAGGTTTGACCTCAGGTATGACAATGACAATGGTAGAGGAGGTGTAGGAAAAAGCTGCCCTAGCAAGTTTCGGATCCAGTTCTCGGTCAAAGTTGCTGCTAGACAAGGATTTCCAAAGAACAAATCAATTTGAGGATACCGGAAAAGCATCTGGTTCAGGAAAGAGTGGGAGACTGATAGAGAATGGAAGCTCCTTTATTGGAAAGGAAACAGTCAGGGCTTGGGAGAAGGACCATGAAGGAAAGAAGCGAAGTAGGAGAAGATTTGAAACTCCTCAAAGACATAATGCAAAGAAAGCAAGGCCAATTTCTTCTCCACTTCATCCTGATCACGGTGCATCCAGATCACGCTCAAAATCTAAATCCATAAGGCATATGCCAAGGTCAATTTCACAGTCTAGATCAAGATCCATATCATCCAGAGCACGCTCATCATCTAAAAATCTAAGGTTGAGTTCAATATCACATTGTTCTAGAGCCAGAAGTTTTAAATCTAGCTCAAGGTTGAGCTCTCCAACATCCTACTCTTTACCTGTATCATTTGGTAGGCCTCTAGAATCAATGTTGGACAAGGGGCAATTTAATTTGAAAGGCTCTTTGGATGCGGGTAACGCACCTGAATCCAAGGAAATTATGGTTGGAGGTGATGTTCAGTTGGAGAATGCAAATTTTGAAAATAATGTGGGTCCGGTTACTATTAAAAATGCTGGTTCATCTGCCAAAGTAGAAAGTGAAGTGGAAAAAGACCAAGCTATGCAGGGAAGTAATAGTGATAATCATATGACACCCAGGTCAGTGCCTCGAGTTAAAAATCCAAGCACACCACTTTCTGAGAAAAGTGCACTTGCTGATGAGCGTTTATCTCCAGAGAACTTAAGAGAGATAAAGGGCAGTCAAGCTGTTGATGCAATGACAACAAAGGATGTGACAGTACAACCTTTAGAGACTGATTCAGAGCTTACCTCTGTGGGTTCTACAACCATATCGCCAGAGGAATTGTGTATTGTCATTAAGCATTATGGCCTAGAAACTCAAGAAGAAAATGAAAGGCATCTATCTGCAGAAGCTTACTTTGGTGCTGCTAGCTTGTGGCCTTGGGAGATAATCTATTATAGGAGGTTGAAGAAAGGTCCTATTTCAACCGAGAACTATGCCAGGCGAGTTGAACAAAATAAAGAATTTGGTATTGTTGATAAGTATATCAGAAGCAGTAGTGGATGGGGAGAACTGAAGCACCTCTGAGAAATTTTGTAAAGTCTGTAACTGCATATTTTATATCTTCAGAGTTTGGAGAGCCTCAGCATTTTGGCCCTACTTTGCTATATGGTTTTGGGATTTTACAATATTAAGATCTAACAGGTAAACTTCCACAAAGTATGCGTACTGTGTACTACTAGAATCAAAATGATATCCTGCATTTTCTTTTCTATAAATAGTTTTAGTAATATGATTGGGGTAAGTATTAGTATTATACATATTTTATGTAATAACTATCAATGCTTCTCTTGTTGTGGCAATTATGTAAAGCTTCTCAGCTCCTCATGCCAATATTACAATGCGCTTTAGTTCTCAAGCTCATTATTGAATCTTCTTACTTGATTGTTTCATATTTAATAGTTTCCCTCAGAAGTATTAAAATTTGTTCTGTTTCAGTTTTTTTTTCTGTATAATATGTTGTCACTTCAATTAAACTTTCACAAAGCATGTTACAATGAATATGTTTCTAATTTTAGTGACAAATGCTTGTAAATTTATGGAAGTTTCTGTTTAAAATTTCCATAATTTATGCATTCTGTAGTGCAGAGTGCTTGCATGCATATGGAAATTTCCCTGTCGGACATGACTCAGTATTGTGCTCGGCAGAAGGACAGTTAGCAGCAGGTTTGAAGATGGTTGGTTTGGTTCCTTACTTGTCTAGCTTAGTTTATTGAAGTGAGACGTTTAGGCCTTGCTTGTCGGATGGGAAGAAAATTAGAAAGATGGAAAAACTAGAGGAGAAAAGTGGAATATATATATATATATATATATATATATATATATATATATTGTTTCCATTAGTTTGCCAGCTTTTGTGTTTGTTTAGTTTGACTCTGTATGGTAATGCTTACAACAAAACAAAACTTATGTAATTGTAAAGACTAACCATCAGAACAGTCTATAATCCGAAGACAAGCTGAACAGGTACCAGACTGACTCGTTTCATCGATTGATTCGGACATGCAGCTGGTTTTTGAAGTCAAAGTGATGTACATGGCTTGTTCCTGAATCATTTGCAGAATATATTGAATGCTTTTCAGTTACTTTATGAATCAAAATAAACTCTAGTAGACATTAATCATATGAGTTCATTGAATCGAGTTGCAAACTAGTGTCGGGTTTTCTCGGCATGTTTTTAATCAGTCCATGGCTCCTTGGAACATTGACGGTCAAAAGTTGTCGCTCATATCTAAAAATCTAGTATATTTGTGATTAAAGAGAAACAGATTTCCATACAAAGTGAAAATCATATCTGAAAATCAAACGCATT